CAGTTTATTTTAGACTTTATCGACAAAATATTAATATTAATATTAAAATTTAACAATAGTAACATACTCAACAAAGACAGCAACATGGTCACTAAAAAAATAGAAACATGTTTACAAAAAAATAGTAATATGACAAAAAAGTAATAACAATTAAAAATTTAATTTTGTCAAAGTGGGCATTAACTTTGTAACAAAGATTCAAGAGAACTCATATATTAATACTAAAATAAAAATGTTATAGATCTCAATTTTTGTTGATTCTTTTGTTGCGCAAGACAATCAATTATTTTTTTTTGTTGTGTTACTGTGAAAAAAGTTCATATTATTGTACGTAAATAAAAAATTGGAGTTCAAAATTTCGATGTCTTGATGTTCATAATTGGTGTTGAGTGTCGGAATTCAATTGTCGATTGTGTGTTACTACTTATTATTTTGTAAAATTTTAATTTACGGATCATATTTTTACTAAAATCATTCAAAAGTTGATGTTACTGTAAAAAAATTATTGTCATGTATGTTATAAAAGTAGATATGTTACTGAGTACAAAATTTTGATATTACCGTGACTATTAAAGTGTATATTACACAATCTACGTCTCAAAGTTTGTAATTGTATGTTAAAATTTATTATAGTAATATTAGTGTCAGTATAGTAACACGACTATGCTGGTAACACAACCCTAATTGTAACTTCAATCATATTGTAATATAAATTTTACTATATATTAACATTAGTGTTACTAAATTTTGTTAACATTGTTCAGCTTACCTATGTTATCTATTATTGTTATTAAAAAAAATTTGTTATCTGATTTTAACTTAATAAATTAACAATTTATTCGTTATTTTAAATTTCTCATATATACCTATCAGAATATATAACTTTCATATAAAACTATCGTTAATTATCATAATAATTAATAAAAGATTTTCATATATATACTTCAATGATCTAATTTATGTGAGTTTTTATAATTGGATAAAATTAACACCTCAGAAGTAGTGAAATATTAAATTTTGTTATGGTGCGTGCCCGACAATAAACAGAGGTGTCGCCTACTCAGCGGATATTTTGTGATCTCACGTTTTATGGGACCCACCGTACCACAAAATTATATTAGAATTGCAAGTGGCGATGCATTTTCACGTGACAGACAATTAATCGTATAATAAAGTGGAGTAAGAAACAATGGTTGGTTGGATAGTCCAAAACAGCATTTTCCGTTTTGCGGTGACAAACTGCAGATCCCAAGGGGTAGCTTTATTTCAGATTTGATCCCAATTTATAATATCTAAGCGCATGGTTGGATGGTTTTTGAGATGGTGTTAATTTTGTTTTACCAATTTTTTTTATTTTTTTTCTCTTTTATGTTTATGGAATTTATAGATAAATCTTATTTATATTCGTGTTTGATAAATAATATATATATAACTCTGTGTGTGTGTGTGTGTGTGTGACCCATGAACAATCACAATTATAATCAAATATTTATCATATAATTAACAAAATTGTCCTTTGACCATGTATATGGGATATTTTATTAGGGATAAAAAGATTATATGATATAGTCAACTTAGGCTAGCATATATGAAATCCACTCCCACTTGGGTTTATCCAACCGGTGTATATGGTTTTAATACTCCAGGTCACTTCTGTGCCGAGATATGAATCTCAGGTTTAAAAATTCTAACCAAATATGAGATTAAATGGTCTATCCCATCAAACAAACATGTCATAAGTATTAAGAGTAATACTATTTAAATCTAAAAAATTAACTTAATTTGTTAACATAATGACATGACTTCAATAGAACCATTGAATTAACACTAAATTCTAATGTTTAATAGGACTCACAGTCATTTCAAAGATTATAGTGAATTAAATCAGCAAATTAGGTTCCAATTGTATTGCTCAAGTATTAATAACAATTTAATTTTTTTATACACTAATATTAAAAATCAAAAATTTATATTTTAAGTTAAATTAATTATTTAATTTTATTTATTATGTAATTTCAAATTAAATAAACAAAAAAAAAAGTGACAAAGAGGAAAGAGAGAAGAGAGAAATATGTGTAGCTTAATGAGATTGTTTGACATTAGAAAATGTGTTAATTACGTTGTCTAATAGGGAGAGAAAAGAAAAAGATATTTTTGGGCTAAAAATTATTGTTATATTTTTATAAGTAAATTTCAAACTATACCGTGAAATCCTTAAATATCCATTGAAATTAAAAGTCAAATGTTATCTCTGTTAATAAAGTAAAGGACCATAATAATTATTATACCCAAAATATGTATTCTAGTTTTTTCTCTTTAAAATAAATCAATATTTTTCTCATTCTCTTTCTATTCATTAACTGTAGTTTTAATTATAAAAAAATGGTGAAAAAATAATACACTAGAAATTAAGAAATAAAAAAAGATATATTTTGTTTTTATTGTCAATCTCTTTGTGGATTAATTACAAGTTTATGAAATTTGAGATTTAAACTTTAATTTTTAAATTAATTGGGGTAAAGTATAAGTTTATGGAATAGAGAGAACTAATAGCAAAAATGTTCCCTATTTTCTTTCTAGTAGGATCAATACGAGAGATTGAACAATTGTATTTTATCCCTTCGGACATAAACTCTAAGTTGTCTTTGATTAGTTGTTTTGTTTTTTATATTTTAACGTGACTATGTCACACATAGCATCTGTATGTTTTTACACCAAGTATCAATTGCCAATTTAATAATAGCCGCATTATTTTAACTTGAAGTGGTGATCTACGTTCCATAGGCTAGTTTTTGACTTTTTTTCTATTAAAAAAGTGTAAATGATTTTTTAAGTAAATTTATGATAGTAATGTTGAAAGTTGCCCGTATCGTGGCCTGATCGTAGACGTGAAANTAAATGATTTTTTAAGTAAATTTATGATAGTAATGTTGAAAGTTGCCCGTATCGTGGCCTGATCGTAGACGTGAAAATTTATCTTTTAGTATTTTGCTATAATAAGTACATACTGTATTATCATTGCATCTCACTTCCCTAACTTTAAATCTCGATAGCAATAAATATATATATGATTTGGCAATGATGCCCTCAAGGAAGCGGAGACTGAAATTCAATTTACGGTGAACATTTTAACTATATATATATATATAATAATAATAATAATAATAATAATAAATTTATATCTATTTATGTAGAGGTCTACGAAAATTAAAAACTTGTAGTAGATCAAATGCACATTATTTATTGTTTAAATTAAGAATACAAATAAAAAAATTCATAAATATACAAATCAATGTGAATAACAAAATTTTTTAACACAATAAAATAAAATCTAAATAAAGTATTAAAGACCAATTGTACAACTCATATCATAAAAAGCATTGCTAGAATAAAAAAAAATTAAATAAGGAAAAAATGTCAATATAAATAAATTTTCAATACTACGAAATAAACATTCGAACAAGTATTCTCCTTGTAATATGAATTCAGAAAATTTATGGCAGGCAATCAGATGTCAGTAGCAGATACCCCAGAGCCATAAAAAAAAAAAAAATCTCAATAGAAGATATTCTTTTTTTTTTTTTCCTTGGGTGAGACTATTTAGTATCCGAAAGTCACAACAAACTCTGATTAATCCGAATTTCGAGCCGGATAGGNTTTTTTTTTTTTCCTTGGGTGAGACTATTTAGTATCCGAAAGTCACAACAAACTCTGATTAATCCGAATTTCGAGCCGGATAGGACCACAAGGGCGGCAAAATTCTTCCCATTAAACGCAACTGCATTCTCAAGTCTTAAACCGAAGACCTTAGTTAAGTTAAAACAACTCCCAATTGATCTATGCACTTGGTGGTATAGAAGATATTCATTCAATTAGGAAAAATATGTACTTTCCCGTTATTTAAAGCAACGAATATTATTGCCTTTTAAGTTTGAGGAAATATTTAGTATAACTGTAATATCGCATCACTATTAGTATGGCATACGAAATAACAAATTGTGAATCTCACTTTTATACACGACAATTATTTTCGTACATGGATAAATTNTTATAGGTACACATCGTGAATCTCACTTTTATACAAGACAATTATTTTTGTACATGGATAAATTAGTTACTAAATTAAATTGCGTCTATTTGTATACATGTTAATTTATTATTAAATAGTGCTAAATGGTATAATTAGTACGCCTAACAATTATGTTAAGTCGTGTCGAATTGTGTTAAATTCTAGTGTGTTTATATAAAAAAAATTTCAATTTTTATATAACTTGTTTATTTAACGGGTGCAAATTGCAAATCAATACCGATTATTTATTTATTAAACAGATTACATGACACAATCCTAATTAAAAATCTTTATTTTGAAATAATGGATCATCTGTTAAAAAACTAATCAAACTTGTTTGATTTAATTTGTTGGTATATAATGAAGTAGTTTTAATCAAATTTTTATTCGATTTGTCTTGAATAATCGGATAGTATTAAATTTATTAGGACTAGTCATGACTCATGGCTACCCAAGGGGCGTAACCGGAAAAAAAAATGATCCTAAATATCGAAAAAGGCGATGCCGTGATTGACTAAGTTAGTGGACCCCCACAGAACTGACCGGACTTCAAAGGTTGATTTCAAACGAGTTAATTGCAGAATATAAAAATAGAAAATTTAAAAAAACAATGAGAACACACAACGGACACGTTAAGGTGGAAAATGAAAAGCTGGGAAAAGAAAAGCAAATCCGTGATGGCCCCAAGTATTCGCACCCACGCGCCTGCGTCGTCATCATTTACTTTCTCTCTCTACTTTTCTCTCTTTCTCTCTCACCACTTTCTCTCTCCTCTCACCACTTTCTCTCTCCACATTTCTCCATTATATAAGTTCGCATTTCTTCCCTACTTTTCACCACATCCACCTCATCTCCTGTGTTATCTACACTGAAACCCTAATCCTAGCCTCTGCTTTACCTTGTGTCCTCACATCGTATTTTTTTCTTTGCCATGGAAGAGCTGAGTATTAAGAAGCGAGTCCGTGACGAGTTGGACGAGTCAGAGATTGACTCGCCGGATGTCAAGAGAATCCGAGAGGATCTTCTCAACAATCTTGACGATTCGGATCTGTGTACGGAGAGTGAAGATCTGGAGTCGTTCATGAAGAGCTTTGAAGAAGAGATATCTGGTTCTCCGTCACATGCTACCGTGGTGGATCTGACGTCAGATTCAGGCGAGTCTCAGCCGGATCTCGGGTTCCTTTTGGGAGCATCCGACGATGAACTCGGCCTGCCTCCATCAAATACGTCACCGAACGGGGTCGAGTATCCGGAGGAAAATGAGTTGGTGAGAGTTTCTTCCGAACTCAGTGAGTTATGGGGATTTGAAGATCATATTCCGAGTTATGACTCGTTTGAGTATGGAATCGGTGTTACCGACAGCCATATCAACGGTAACGGCGAGTATGTGGCCTTAGAGGGATTGTTTGATTATTCAGATCTAGGCTTTGGGTCAGATTTGTGGCGGCCTGAAACGTTACCGGCACAGTAACACAAACGAACGTTGGTATTGCCGTCAAGTTAGACAAAGCATATTGTAAAGTTTTTCTTTCATTTTTTTTATAACTTGGAAAAGTTTACAAGAAATACTTCAATTCAAAACCTCAGCTTGTAGGAGAGAATGGTTCTTTGTTGGATTTGAGAAAAATCAAGAAGCTGTTCCTCAGCTTTGGATTTGAATGTTTCACATCAATCAATTGTTTAATTGATGAAAAATCTAAATCAATATAGGTTAAAATTACTTGAATTTCTATGTTAAATTAATGAAATTGATCTTGTACTAATTTTTTTTGTGCCAATTTCATGATTACACATAAGATTGGTGAAATGTATTTTACTTATTTGTTGTTTTTTAACTGAATGGTTACGGTATGTAACAATAATGATATAATGTTACCACACGGATTTAGGTTTGAGCGTAATTTTAACGGATTTAGGTTTGAGCTAATTTTAACGGGTTTGAGTTAAAGCGGTTAACTCGGCATATCATTGAAATAAATGAATTAATTTTGTGTATAATTCAAAAAGCTCAATTTAACACGTTAAAAGTTGGATTATAATTTTTTTTTTTTTTAAAGTTAGGTTTGTCATCGGCTGTCTCATTTCACACTTTCTTTCTCACAGACTTGTGCAAATTTAGTAGTATTATTTAATGTTTATATTTTTTTTGTTTTGCCATAATTTATTGTTATAATAAATAGGTCAAATATGTGTAATTTGTGGCGACTTGATAATTTTTCGTATAAACTCGAAATATTATAACATATTCTCTTAGTTAACGGGTGACACATAGTTGTATATGATAATCTGTCTAATAAACGATTTGTGTATGAGTGTGATAGTTGAATTCGTTTATATAAATAAATTTTATATGAATAGAGAATTTATTTTAATACAAATCTGTTCCACCCGATACGAAACTGTTTCACTTGACAAGATTGTTAGTTACCATTGCAATGAATAGTTTTTAAAAAAAGTGGGGTGTAGGCCAAGTTATTTGTTTACCAGAAATGGTCCTGGGCATATTTTTCAACACTACAAAAAAATTAAGCATTGATTGTGTAATATGGATATTTTAAATAAGAATTTTTTAAAATTATATAATTTAAAATTAAAATGAATAAATAGAAAGTAAGAGAAAGGTAGGAATGGTTTGATAAAATTATTTGGTAGTAGAGAATATCTTAGTTGAATTATCTGATATTAAGAATTGTATAAAACATATATGTTTTTAAGCGAAAAAAATAATTTTAGAACAAATTTTATATTATTGAATTTTAGTAAATAAAAATTAAATATATCTAAATTGTTGTTATATTTCTATAAATTTAAAATTTAATTTATTAATTATAATATTAGACGAATTGGTGAGAGGTAACACTATTTAATAGAACTGACATGATATAACGGTTATAATAAATCTTTACTTCGGAGGTAAATAATTCTCACACATGCTACAACAAAAAATTTGAAAATGGGAATGCCTTAGGAAAGTTGTATAATATATGATGGTTGACGTCCTGAGTCGTATTATATGATAGTCGGCATCTGTGTGATACACAAAATTTATAAATTTTTTCAGTCGACATCTCTACATCCACAACTATTCCCTTCACTCCGCCCAAACCATTTATTGGATAGTTATATGATAATGACAATTTTCTTTTGAAAAAATTCAAATGGGTTGTTACAAATAAATACATGAAAGAAATAATTTTGTGGTCACATGACAGGATTTGATTGGGATAAAATAATTCTAAAATCTATTAATTAGTCATACTAGGAAAGGAAGGTTTCTCAAGACTCCTCCCACCAAGTTATTATCTATATAAACACTTTCACCGCATTAAAGTTAAACTTAAAAAAATAAAATTTCATGCACAATTAGGTTATAAATTATTTAATTTTTAAATATATGTTGATTATAAGGTTTTAAATTTATAAATATAATTTACATATATCATTCTATATGTATTTTGAGGCATGAATCGGTACTTTCTAAATAAAAATTTAAATAATAATGAGTAAACATATATGTACCTACCTGATGTAAATTATAACACAACTTCAAGGGATTTAGTTCAAGTTCTAAGTGGGCCGGTTATGAGAGCACGAGCAAGGAAGTTTAAAGAAGTACTCAATGGACTAATTCAAAAGACATGAAATCAAGCAAGTTCGTGGAGGCCCAGTGAGCATGATCCACTTGAGCAACAAAGATTCATCAACATGATTCAAGTTCTAGAAGAATCCAGCTAGGGGCTAAGGCTAAGTTTAAATTGACTTCATGTTGTTAAGGCCTCCAATTTGTCTAAAGGATTAGAATTATTAATAAGTGGGCTTGAGGATGCTTAACCCACATGTTTTATTTATTATGAACTAGGGTTTTTGTAGTTACTGTAATGTTGCACTGTTAACGCTATAGTAACTGTGCACTATTCACTCTTTTTAGGGTCTAATTGTAAGGCTTATATGCCAAGTTTTTTCCCTTTTTCTATTTAGGCATGTGATAAGCCATTTAAAGGGCTGAATGTCTTTCTTTTTTTCTTCAAGAGTGTTAGGAAAGTAAGAGATATTTCTTTACCCACAAGTAAGAGATATTTTTTAAATAGGATAGCTATTTTAGGAAACGATCAGCCTATAAATAGGCATTCAAATTAATGAAAATTTAGACCATTATTCAGCAAATTTTGAGAGTGTTTTCTCTTCGGTTCTTTGAAGAATTAAACAAACTTATCGGAATTCTCTGTGACGTTTACCAACGACTTATCAAACGGATTTCCACACCGTTTGTGGCGTCTTCCCTTATATTGAGGTTCTTGTTTCACAAACAGCGGGTTAAGGTCTATATAACAAGGTTCTTGTTTGTTGTAAATAACGGGTCAAGGTTTACCGTAAAATCTAATCGTAAAATGATTTTGGGTTCTTTTCGTTATAGGATCTCGTTATTCCAGCGGGTTCCACGACATTTGGTATCAAAGCCAAGGCTCGAGTTTAGGTTTGTCTATCTCTTAAAACCTTTCTCTTCGTTATTCGTT